AGTGGTTCTACGGGTCGTGTTGTGACTTTGGTGCCGGTGTCTCGCGGGTAAATTCGATTTGGCATCCCGGATCAAATCCTTTCGATGCTTCAACCCACACCTTCCAACACTCTTGCGTTCTGGCACTGGACCAATCAAAGTGGCATCTTCCGTTCATCAAAGTGGTGGCATCTCCAAAAAAAATGAGGGCTTCTCAAAGTTTCCTTTTGTCCGCCTGCACCATGCACCGCCATTCAGCTGGGGTGTTGTTAGGTGAGGACGGCACTGCCAACGATGGCATGCCCGTGAGCGATGCAGATGAGGAGGGCCCCACGGCCTGAAGTCGGGTCCTTCGGAGCTTCAGACCTGGGGTGAACAGGGGTTCTCAGCCACATGGGTGTGGCTCAAATTTTAAGAGCTAGGGTTACGCGGGTAGTTGTTGGTTCCATTTTACCAAGGTGCCACTTTGGTACATGTTTTTGAGCCACAGCCACATGGCAAGGATCATGAAAAAAAAACATGGAATTTTGGCAAGGGATGTTCGGACTGAACCACTTTTTGGCCAACTAGTGGGTTTTCCACTAAACCAGTAAACGTTAAAAACAAAAATAGCAGGGGAGCAGCAAGCAACCGAGACATGATGCAAATTCAGGGAGCCATGATGGGGGGGGTTAATCAAGATCCATCAGAACCCGTAGGGCAAGGAAGAAAACCTCATAGCTATATTCAGGTGAGTGAGTGGTGGAAAATTGAAAAGATTGCCTAGGTCCCACAGTATTGCCCTTTTACCGTAACTTTTTTGGGGAAGGGGTCCCCTACTAAAATTGACTACAGAAAAAGAGGTACCCTTATTCTAAACACTCTACTGGAGGACCTAGTTGCACTTCTATGAGTGTTTAAAACACACAAGGATTATTCGGCGGGGGGGGCTACATGTCAAAGCTAGGATTGTCGTCATCTAAAAATTCTGAACTGTCAGTTGCATGTTGGTTGTCTATTCAGACCGTTCCCTTCAAGGGGTCCCTTTTAGGTTTGTCCTAGAGCAGAGGATGTCGCAAAGAGTTGGTTGCCAGTAGTTGGAAAGACATCTCCTATTGCCTTTCGCCGGTAGAAGGGTGGAACTGGTAAACCCTGACTCGAAGGCTCGGCTTTTCTGGGGCCCGCTCCGGTGCTTTCTGTCAAAAGATCCGCGAAAAGACACGGCCCAGGCTCCAACTATGTGGAAATCACGCTGGCAAATCAGCTGCTTGAATGAATCCAGGGGCAGCGGCCGTTTTCTCAAGATCTGCAGAAAACTTCACCCATGGGTGTGTCTGTCTTTTTGCGCGGCTCGGTACCCTTTGCAGCCATCCCAGGTACTGCTAAAATTGACCAGCCAAATTCCTTAAGTTCTCAAAAGGTTGTTCCCTTGGTTACCTATAAAACCTGGCAAATGAAATCACAGGGAGAACAGGCAACCAAAGGCAACCACAATTTGACACACTCTTATGTTGGGTCCAAACCCAGTTCGTTGCATGTGCTATTTGCCTAATGTTGGATAGTGATTTGTAAAGGGCCCCCCCCCTCAAACGAATTGGGGGGGTTAATAGCGAAAACCCCAAAAACAAAATGGGGGTCAGACTGGGACGTGCCTGAGTAGTCTTCCAGTAAGTATTGTTTAGAATTGGTATAGTATTGGTTTAGTATTCCTTTGAGCTGGCTCACTACGGTTTAGAATTGGTTTAGCAGTAGTTCAGTATTCTTTTCAGTTGACTCACTACAGTTTAGAATTGGTTTAGTATTGGTTCAGTAGTCTTTTCAGTTGACTCACTACAGTTTAGAATTGGTTTAGTATTGGTTCAGTATTTCTTTGAGGTTACTCAATTGGCAGGCTGCCCTGGCCATTGTTTTTTCACCATTCCCTACCCTTAAACAAACTGCATTATTGCCTTCCGGAGTAAGTGGTCAGGTTGGTAGCGGTGTGGTGTGGTGACTTTGGAGCGTGGGGAGCTGCTGGGACTGGGAGCAGCGTGGCGTTGGACTCACGTTTCAACCCTCAAAAATAGTCCATTCTTGGAAGGGAACATATTTTCGGGATTTCGGGCCGATTTTTTTCTGTAATACGTACCCTTTTTGCTTTTCAGGAGAGTAAATCAATTTGAATTGTTTTTTTCTGTATTCACTCCCCTTATACTAATCGCTATCTAACATTAGTACAATGGCCTGCCTATCCGGGAAGAAACCAACAGGAACCCGTCCGTTTGTCTTAAAATATCAATCAGACCCCGAAAAATGCTGGCTTTCCAAAGGCAGGGGTGTCTTTTGTGGGAAAATTGGCGACCCCCTGAAAAAGGAATCCTCCACAAAAGGTGGCAAAAAGACAACCCTGTCCAAAGGTGCCCCAAAAAAAACTCCTGCGCGACTCAGAGTAGCTGACTCCAAGGCCGGCGAAGATCGCCTTCAACGCGGAGGTGCCTCAACGCCATCAAAACCGATCGGTTCCCTTTGGGTTGGTTAGGGGGCCAAAAGGACGATTTGATGGCTTAAAGTATGATAGTACGATTTCATTGACCAGCCCGTATTGACTATGGACCTCAATGGCTTGACATATTGACTTTTGGGCTGGCACGATTTGAGGGTCAATATGAAGCAGAATATGAAAGTATGATTTTCAGGGCGCAGATGTGGGCCATTCGGGTTGAAGGAGCAGGGGACAGTGCCTCAGCTGATGACGCGTATCCTTGGGGAAGCCTAGGCTCATTCCTACAAAAAAAACAGACGGAAAAGACTCCTATATGCTGAATACCAGCAAGGTTAGAGTGCACGGGATTTTGCATGGGATGTTGCTACCTTGTTACGACTCATGTAGCCGAAGGCACCTTGCACCTGAGGACAAGATGACATTCCCTCCCATCATTGCAAGCTGCAGCGACAAGAGCCAAGCTGCTGCAAAAGGGACGCCTGGCATGAGGGGAATGGGGGAATGAACGCAAGGAAGCCGATTTGTTGTTCGGTCGGAAGGAGCCGACCGCTCCACTCGTAGCTTTGCATTGTCTGAAAGGATCTTGCACAGTGGCCAATGACCCAACTAGGACTCGTGTTAACTGGTGTTGGCGGAGGTCAAGCGAGAAGGATAACTGCAGAAAACAGAGAGGGACTGGCCTTTTCGCCGCGAGGCAAGCAAGAATTAGTGGTGAAAGCTGAAAGGGTGCCACTTTCTGCACACTTGAGTCCCTTTGCAGTTGTCACGATGCATCCCATTCATTACAAGGATCAACCAATTTCCACGAGCCAACGAGGGATCTGCTGGAGGTCAGATTGATTGCTTTCCAGTCCATTGCATTAGGAACTAACTCGTAAACGGCCAAGTTGCACCGGTAACATCCTTGATCCTTCGAAACCAGAAGCGAGTATTCGGACCCCTCATGTCGGGAGAGATAGCTGTGTTTTGGTCTACGACGCCTTTGTTGTGAACACCTAGTCATGGCTACTTGATCTAATCCTTATGTCGCTTGGTAGCTCCCAGCCATCCCCTTAGCTTTTGAGCTTTTTAGGGTTTGGACTGACACCACAAGTTAAACTTTTAGCGGGGGGTCTGAAATCGGGCAGTCCAGGGTTGTGGCCATCCCTTTCTAGTCTTTGAGTCATAGAGAGGCGACCTAAGCAGCCAAGTTCCGAGCGAGAGAATGGCTTCGGGTTGGGGGAACCGTTCAACGACCAGAAAGGCGAGCCGTGCGTTGGCAAACGCGGGGATGCTTCCATTTGCTACAGAGTATGTTTTAGTTTGTTTTTATGTTGAAGTTTTAAAGGGAATCTAGCACTGCTGGACAAGTTTTTGATTTTTAACCCTTTCGGAGGGCTTAGGCAAATGCAAGGATTCCGGAATATCCGGAACCAACTTTTGAACATTTACAGCAAAATTGTTGGTTGTCTACTATAGAGATAGGGATTCATTGGCTAAATGAAGGCTTGGCTCCTATTCGGGATTTGTGCGCAGAGCAAGTTTGGAAGATCCTGGTTACTTGCTAGATCCAAAATAGGGTCACAGGGAAACACAAAGTTATGTTCACTGGCAGGGCTGGTTTTGGGTAGATTCGCAAACTGCCTCTTAGATCCATTCAAAACTGGAGGTGCCATATCATCGCTCCAAGCGATGATCCTGTCGTGGGAGATCCACCCAGGTATCTGTAGTTTTCTTTGTGGCCGAAGAACTGGAAACGCGAACGTGACGCCCTCTTCGCTTTTTTTTCTTCTTTTTTTCCTGTTTTTCTTTTCTGCCTAGACACAGCCATGGGCCGGAACTTTCGGGTTTGTCTCTAGAAAAGCTGACCCTCCAAAAAGTCGTTGAGTTTCTGGCGCTTTCCTTGCCCAGCCGCACCCACCACCGACACCAGCCGGGTGCTGCCCCATACCCTAGACGCATACCATCCCCGTGGGCCGGGGTGCCTCAGGGTGGGCCCGGGGGACTGGCTGATCTCCGTGAAGAAGAAGGAGGAGGAGCAGCAGCCCACCGTCACCTGGAGCCCCGCCAAGGCCATGGAGTTCATCGAGCGCCTCGGTTCTGGCGTATGGGTCTCTTGGTTCTTTTCTCTTTTTCTCCCGGGGGGGTGGGGGAGGTGCCTTTATTATTCAAGTGTTTTTTCCCATTTTTTTTTTTCGGGGGGGGGGAGGTAGCTGTTTTTTTCTTCAAGGTTAGAGAAACCACGAGAAGAACCTGTACAAGAAAGAACTCAGTTGTTCAAACCTTTTGACCTGTTGGTTTTCCCTTTTCGGTCTACTTGTTTGGGAAAGGTCCCAAGAGGTGAACCTTTTATTTCCAGGTCTTTTGGGCAACTGAGAGAAAATTATCTCCCCACGTGTGGAAGCAACTACCACAATTGCATTTTCTTAGAGCCATCCACAAGTACTTGGGGTTGCCAGAGCTACAAGCTATCGGGGTGCATCGGGGCCTTTCAAGAAAGATACTGGGAGTCTTGGGGGTTGGTCAACTGTGGGTGGCGTAACTGGTGTCTGCTGGGTTTCAGCAACGAGCGCGCCCTCTTGAGCGGTCAGTTTCCACATGCACAAGACTTAACAAACAAAGCATATTCTAAAAGTGTGGAAGGTGACTGAGCTGCGCCAGCCACACTTGGCACTCGGGGTCTGTCACGGACGTTTGGGTCGGGCCGCTTACGGGAGCCTCAAAAGTCGGTCTTTCAAAAGTGCTTCCGGGCGAACTGCTAATCTGAGAACCCCAAACCTCCTGGGTGGAAGTACGGACGCCCTTTGTTTACCTACGGCGCCGGGCGTTTGCGAAGTCCACTGGTCTGTTGTGGGGAAAATGGACAAATTCCAAGTGGTTTGTAAGTGGACGTTGGTTATGTACATACACTTGCATGTACACACCCACAGACATATGAATATGTTCTATATAGACACACATGTGTATCTATATATATATATATGTGAGAGTCGTCCGAAAGGTCCAAGTATTGAGCTATGAAGGGGAAGACCTTTTGGTCTTAGCGTTGACCTTCGCGAAAGTTCCGCTAAGGGGGTCGCGAAAGTTAATGTTTTTTTTCCGCGAAAGTTTTGTGTGGCTTGCCAACAGGAAGCTGGAGTGATGAATCATGTGTATTTACCGGCAGTGCGCGCAGAGTGCCCGCAGACTAAAGTTGGTCGGAGAATGCGCAGCCTGAGGGTCGTCATAAGAATACGCCGCTGCAAAAGCAACCCCCAGCCAGCAGAAACCAGCTTCTGGGAGTTTTGAAGCTGTCGGGGCATGCTGAGCGCAGCTTTCAGCCGGATTATCGCGAATGTTTGGCGTAAGATCCGCAAAAGTTTCGCGAAAGTCGACGGACCTCCCCGCCAGTTTCCGGACATGAGGCCAATCGGGTCCTCTCACGCGTAGCTCACGGCTTGTGCGCTGGAGCTGCGGAAGCGCGCTTCGCGTGCTACTTTGGAACTGAAAGGTCGCGACTTTCGAGCTGGGGTTGCGGAAGTTCACTTTCTGTACTACTTTCGTATTGAAAAGTTCTGACTTTCGAGGCTGAGGGAGTTTAGTTCGTGTGCTACTTTCGTATTCAAGCCGGGCTGCGGAAGTTTACTTTTAGTACTACTTTCGCACTGAAGAGCTGCGACTTTCGAGCTGGGGCTGCGAAAGTGTACTTTGCGCACTACTTTTGTGATGAATGTTCTGAAAACAGCCCCGCGAAAGTTCCGCGATGGGGTCCGCGAAAGTTATATATTTTCTCGCGAAGATGGCGGTTTCCGGAGCAAGGAATTTCAGACAACCGTCATATATGCATATATATATATGTACGTATAAGTATATCCATATTACAATATACATTGAGCCTCACATGACAGAAATGCCTTGCGAGTCAGTCGTTTCTGGGAATACTGTGTCGTTTTGTCCAATAAACAGGCGTTTGTGCCGAGAGAAATGCGCTGTTGTCACTGCTGATGCCAATGTGCCTGAATGATGATGCTGGTGTTCCCATAAACACGCAAAATACCTAGACTCTCCTTCTGACAGGTACACGTTTTTTTTTAATCTTTGCAGGCGTTCCGTCGGTTTGGCGCGCGCTTTGCAAGAAGAACGAGGAACCCTGCAGCATGCACCGGCAGGCCCCTCACAAAGCCTTGGAAGCACGAACACGTGGCTTCGCGTGGCAGGCTACGTGCAGGTTCCTTCTTTCAGGACCCAAAATGCACTCGGTGCAAGCAAACCATGCACTCCTAAGCATTTATTTCGCTCATCAAGAACACACGTCGAATACAGTCAAAAGACAAAGCTACATTGAGTGATTCTTGCTTTTTGAGGGTCCAGGTGTCAAAGTCAAGATATAGATATACATATATCAGGGATGAGCATCAAGGCGGAACCGTGCGCTACCGATTTTGTTCATGATGTAGGCGGGAGACCATGTAACAGCTCTGAAGAAGGCTAAGCTTCGTGTGGGGTATCGACTGGCCGTACATCGTATTGCATGCCTTTGCGTAAACGTTGCATAGTTCCTGTTGGTTGTCCTTTGAACACCAACCAAAAATGGGTGCGCCAGTGTGAGACACAAAAGGGGGAGCTCGTGAAAAGATCCAGCTGGCGGCTCTTTCAGAGTGCAACGGTGGAATCCCACGGAGCCAGCCGGAGGTGAATTTCAATTTGCAGCTCATGATGGCAATGGTAAGAGTTCTAGGGGTGGCTTCCCCGTTCTTTCCAGGGATCTGAATCTTTGAGGAAACCATCAAAAACCCAGGGGAAACAGCCGGCTTTTGAAAAGAACGATGGTTGAAAAGAATGGACAACGAATCACCCCGTAGAAGAGTCGTGAGACTGGCGTGAGTCTTGGAACACACCAGTCCAAAGGTTGCAAATGCTTTCCGGGGACAGGGCCTGGTCCAAAACTTGAGCAACTCGTGGGCTGCAAAGCTAATTGAGGTTGCAGGGTCCTGATGGAAGTTGGGGCTTCAACTAATATTGTCCTTTTGACACCCCTAAACAAAGAGACACTCGGGGTGTACTGGGGCTGGGTTCTGCATACCAAGCCCTGATCGGACCCTTTGGGTGGGTCGTGATCGGAAGGCTTTGGTTTGCGACCGACCCAAGATGAAGGTTCCTTTCTTGGCAGCTCCGTACTTCAGGTTGGTGAATGATAATTTACCCAGATCTAATGAATCACACACTCATTCCATTGTCATGACGTTTGGTAGTCCTGGCCGCTTAAGCTACGAGTGACTTCTGTCCTTGCCGTGATCAGTTGTGGGTGACAATTATTGCAAACTAAGGACGACTGACAAGGAGAAGATCAGGCGGGATCTGCGAGCCATTTGACGAGAGCCACGTCCATATTGGAGAGGTGTGTTGATGTGTCTTTTTAGGGATTAGTTGCCCCAGGTACGAGAATTGGGGGGAGGGGGAGGAACTTTTTTGGGGGGATTCATGTGCAGCGGGGCAGGACCTCAAAGCTAGAGTTCAAGGCCTTCGATTCTGTACCATGGGTTTTGTGTAGTGGGAGCCTCGGATTGGTGAACCCAAGTCTATCAGTAGGGGTGGGTGTTCCTGGGTTTAGTTGGGAAGCAGCCCACTTCTGGAGCGGCCCCCACCTAGTAATAGGCAGGGCTCCTTGTTGCCGGGTCAGCATTATGCCTCCTTGCCTGGGTTTTGACTACTTGCCCTGTTGATGTCCTGAACTTCGGCGGCGGAAGATGTCGATCGATTTGGTCACCAGAAACCGCCAAAGCCATGGATGTCCATCAAAGGTGATGGTTGCGTAGTGAGTTTGGCTCGGGATAGAGGATTTCGAGAGGTCCTTGTGTTATAAGGATGGCTTTAGGGGGGGGGGTAACGGGGTCCGAGTACCTTAGGTACTTTGACCCATGGCTTCTTTCAACCAGCTCTACGGCGCTCTGGTCCCGTTGGTACCATCTTTGGGTTTGACCTCCGGCCTAACCGGCGGTTTGGTCAGTCGAGTGATGAAACCGATGCCGGTGTGTTCTGATGGGAAATGGTACAAGTCCTTCTTGAGTTCTTTGGCGCATTTTGCTTGGATGTTAGGACTTTAACTTTTTGCCAACTAATGGGTTTTCCATCAAACCGCTAAAAGTTATTCACTTTTAGCAGGGCTTCGCAGATTTCGCAACCGAGAGTTGATTTCGCGTCATTTTTCGGTTTCAAGTTGTTTCCCCTGGCCTTTTCCCCAGGCCCCAGGTTCACTGACAAAGCTCGACTAAGCTCGACCTGCGAGCTGGGAGTTGGAGGCCTCTGAAGCTGACCTTCCGCAAGAAGGACAAGGTGGAGATCGCGGTGCGGGTGATGAAAGGGCCGCCACTCAGAGACTTTGTGGCTGAACGCCTGGTTTATCGTAGGGACTCCAAATGGAAAGCAACGACTTGAACGCATTCTGCGGAGAAGTTGTGGCTGAACTCTTTGTTCGTAGGGACTCCAAATGGAACGCAGCAATTTGTTGGGTCCTCCAAAATGATGTTCTGTAGGGTAGACTGGATACGGAGACGAACCTCTGAAAATATTGTTCTTGGGGATAGCATACTGTACTGCTATACAACACTTATGACCTTCTTTTGACAGTATCCTTTCCAGTTCTTCAGGCACTTCTGGCGCCCTCCGATTCTTTGGGTGCTAAGTAGCCGAGGTGTGTTTGATTTACTCAGAAGGACACTACTCCGCCCAACATGCAGCCTAACAGGACTTTTTGGACCTTTTCCCTCCCTGGGCATTCGGTGGGCAACACCAGTTGAAAACCGAAATAAATAATTCACAAATCCCTGCAACAAAGTATAGTTTGATCCTAAGATGTCACTTACCTTTCCAGCTGTCCCTGCCCTGGGGGTGACAAGTAACGAAAGATTTCTCTTCGTCGTTTCCGGTCAAACAAGGTCTGTCAAGGCGCACCGTATCTCGAGCCGAGGCACAACCTGGAGCTGGCCAACAGCAAGGACGAGATGCCCCCGAAGATCATGAAGGACCTCTCCCAGGACCATTAGGGCCATTGGCCCGGGCATGCGGCATGCCCCTTCGATAAGGGCTGGGTTTGTTGCTCAGGGGAAAGTCGAACAACAAGTGCTGGGGGGAGGGGGTCCGTGCCATGCTCTCTAAACGAAATTTGGGGTCTGCTGGTGTTTTCTTCTCCAAAAATGTGCCATATGTTTTTTTGGGGTAGACTAAATACGGAACCGAATGTGAAGATTTGAGCTTCCGCGTACCACAGAGGGCCAAGAAAACGAGGTGACCGGTTTCCAGAAAAGTGAGCCACTATTTGGAAGAATATTTTGGTGATACACAAGAAGGTTGGACTTTTGTAACCAATCCGTGTTTTGTTTCTTGATCCGCATCTCCTTAAACATGGCTAATCGGGAAAGGATGAATTTCGCTCCCAGCAACTGAGCTCTGGCTGGAAAACTAGATAATGGAACTGAAGGACCACACCACCCCACTCAACCTTAGCAGCCGCTTGGTTTTGTCTGGCGGGGTTGTCTTGCTCCCTTCTGATTATTTCTGATTGACATGGAACCCAAAAAAGGGGTCCCCCAAGAGCATATCTGAAGATGATGGTTCTTGGGGCATGTCAATCTGTAAAATAGTCTGAGAGATGCTCAGGATGAAATACACACACCGTTGCCAGGCACCATGCAGACAACATCATGATGGTCGCCCGCTCATCTCTAACAGATGCCTGTGACCCGTTGATGGCACGTGATGGCCTGGGGCAACGTCCTGTATGACCATTCCCTCATGCCGTGGAATGATGCCCCAAATAATTACTGCGAAAGAACCGAAGTGCGCCAACCATACTCAACTACCAAACCATGGTACCTTACAGTGAATTTGAGGATGTCTCTGTTCCCCCCTGTAGCCCATCAGCCGTAGCGTTTTGTAACCACAGACTTTTAGGTAGTTATACAACAATCAAGGGTGCCCTTGAGTTCTATCTTCAAAGGGGAACTTTTCAAAATGGGAAGGACTTTGAACAAAACAGGGGATGCGGATGCCCTTTTGGGTTTCCTTTCAACGCCACACAAGAGGCATTGTCTTTCAGTCACAAATTTGCAGCTCGCATGTCGCGCGAATTGGTTGAGGTCCAAGCTGGTCTTTGGTTTCTGGTTTGTGAAGTACGGCGAGTGGGTGAACTTGCCCTGGGACACCGGGGGGAAAATTGAAAAAGCAGAAGCTTGCCAGGACAAGATGTGGCGCAAGCAGGGTGTTAGCCCTGGATGGAGGGTCGTGGACATCAATGGCTTTGACACCACCGAGATGACTGCTGCCGCTTGACCAAACGGCTGCGGCTTGTGATGTGTTGTGCCCATGTCCGAGCTGTGTGTTTTGTTTCAGACCTCCTGAAAATGACAAACCTTCAAGCGGCCCTTGCCCTTGATCATAACCAATCGGGGGGGTCAAAGACAAACCTTGTTCAGCTCCTGGGTTAAGTTTGAGTCAGAGGCATGTTCTGCACTTGTTTTCGCACAGCAAGTCGGAAATTACGAGAGCCGCGCATGCCAACCATGCGACATACAACATGTCAGACTGTTTTGAGACTCCAGCAAGGTCAAAGAGTCTTCCGAAGTTGCCCGGCGTTTAACATGTTCTTGCTGTGCATGATCCCATTTTGCCTACAGTGCGCCATCATTCATCGTAGGTTGAATGTCAAACAAGATTTACAGTGGGTTCGGAAGCTACGATTTGCTTTGCTCCCCCGATAAGCCTGCTCCATTTGGCGCTTTCCGGGAATTCCTGTGGCCATTCTTCCTTCGCCAACTTCTCAAAATGGTGAGCCCCTTCTGGTTGGTAGTTACAGGCAAACCAGAAAGAAACGAACCATTCTAGGGGACCACCATTTCGAGAAACACTCAACCGGGGTGCTGGGGCTTGATTTCCAAGTTTTAGTTGTATAAGCCCATGTCTGCACCCACTTAGGCCCCCTTTGTGAGCAACAGGCGCATGAAACGATGGGCACTGAGCCCTGCTTTGCCCACGTGAAGCACTGCACGTTGCTGTGTTTGACCTCGGACCGCTAACTCTCCATAGAAGAGTTCCGAAACAAATCGTCCAACCGCACACCGGGGGGTCAATCCAAGAGGGATTCTCAAAGTGCGCCTTCGGAATTCCCCTGAAACAACGGAGGTCAAACGGGGGAATGCACGACTAGGTCCCCCAGTGCACTTCTACCGTTTCTTTTTTGCGGGAGAATTCCCCTCACCCTTATTCTAGACTACCATCCACTTTGCTTGACTGGGAGAAGGGAACTCAACAAGCCTTGCCAATAGAAGGGCCTTGTCCCATGTCGACCCACTGGGACATCGCAGAACCCTGCACTGCATGTCGTTTTATTGAATATCATTCCTGTGCCCTGCCGTCTCCAAAAGGATTCCTGTGCCTCTTCAACCGTTTTTGAATTGAAGGTGACCAATGTCAAGCTTTCGAAAGTGACCTTATGCCTGAGGGGTCAAGGCCCATGCTTCAAAAACAACATGTTTGGTTTCGAGGTGATGCCGCGCTTCAAGCAACTTTTGCAGCTGCGGCCTGCAATCGTCACCTGCCGCCCCCACGGCCTAGCGGCCAGGGGCGACTCCGATAGGTGGGGAGATGGGAGGGCAGAAAGTTTTGGTAGACTCCAAGGCTCCCTTATAGCCAACACGAGCTCATGGGTATGGGTCAAAATTAAACCACCAAGGGAACGTAGGTTTTAGTTCTTGTTTCCATTTACATGGGTTGCATGTTGTTGTTTTTTGTTTGACTCACCGCCATATATGTTTCTTGTTGGAACCCTGAGGTCATCATTTCAACAGGAGATGTCCACCAACTGCTTGTCGAGAGGTTAGTTTTCACATGTCCTTTGCATCATGGATCACACACACGCGCAGTGTTACACAAGCACTAGCAGGTTTTAACCCGGTCAAGACTCACCGCCTTTTACCACTGCTGCTTGCTTCGTGTTTCGACTTGCCAGGGTCACGGGCTGGGACTGGCTGACATTGTTCTGTTTTTGGAAACGCATGTGAGAAAGCACATGAGGGTTTACAGGCACAAACACAGCTCAGACATGTTTTTTGGCCAATCCACTTAGGCCGTGAGATTGTGAGATGACATTCCCTTTGCCTCAGGAGGAGAACCCAAGTTTCAATGCTGAATCATTTTTTGTTGAGGCCCCTTGGGTGTTCAAAATAGTTCCCCAATGTAACCCCACCAAGAAGTGTTTGTCACCCCCATGGCTTGACTGCTGTTGGGTTGGATCTTTAGACTTTAACTTTTTGGTTGAAATCCAGGGGTGTTCCACTAAACCAAGGAGAAGTTGAACTTTTTGCAGAGGGGTCAACAGCAACAAAGATGGATGGATCCTACTCCTGGTTTTGAAACCATGCAATCGGCGCTGCCGCAGGGCCATTCAGGAGGCAAAGCCGGTGATGCTGAGCGGAGTGGCCTCCAAGGTCTACAAGGACCGGGCGGGGTGGGGGAGTCCGTGTTGTTGCTTTGTTGCTTGATTGCTTTTCTTTTCTGGCCATAGACTGGAGGTCTGTGCCTCCATTTTCCTGGTAAACAAAGCCAAACACCAAAATGGCTGCTGAACTAAAGGGCGTGGTGGGATCCAGTGGGTTACCTCTTCAGCTTGGGTGTGGGTCCGCAGGTGGATGATTTGCTGTGTTTCTGATAGGGAGCTTAGATTGCTGACCTGCAGTTCAGCATTCAAAGTGACACACACACAGAGATCTCCCACGGAGCAACCACAAACGGTTGGTGTATTTTAGAGTTCTATCTCCATTTGCTTGCTTCTCATGTTGTACGTCTAGGAGGGGACGCTCCTGTTCCTTCACAGCCTTTGGTGAGCTTTGGTGCCCACCACGCTGAGTTGGGAGAGCAATGCAAACCAAAGGGATCATTTGCCAGCCCCTGAATAGAATTGCGGGGGGGGGGGGGGCAATAATAAAGGAATCCCCTTTGTGGGGCCAGACTCAAATTGGGGACCTTGACCCCACATCCCCTGGGTCTGCGTCAGGAGCATGATCACAAGCTGCGGCATCGCGACGCTCGGCAGTCGATGCGACCGGAAGCCTGGAATCTCCACCCATCTTGGGGTTGCAAAGAAAACTCCGAAAGAATCGCCACTTGTGCTCGGGGTTTTATGTGTGACAAGCCCACTTGCGCCATTGCTGGGAAGCCAGCCCTTTGTAGACCCAACATCACCCATGATTTTTTGGCTGAGCAGAAGCTGAGTTAGAAACCAAATGTTGGGTGGCCCGGCGGAGCTGATCTTTTCTCCTTCCAACAAACGTGGAGGTGCAGAGACCCTTGTTTGGAAAACTATCACCTACTAGTTGTCCTTACTTTCATATTTGTTGGTGGAAAGGTAACCTCTTGAGCAACTTTTAGGCTTTTCCCAAAACTAGCCTGAAACATCAACCAAGGACTAAGATGGCTTCCACTACCAACCACAACCCCCAGCCGTTGAATCACATATGGGGCCACTATATACTCTCCATGTGGGTGTGTCTTTTTTGGAGGGTACCCTTTCTGCGTCGTTTCCGAAGAAAGCTCAGGGAAAGGCGATCGCTTGCCGGATCCCGCGTTTTAAGACACGCCCACGGGTGAGCCCGTCTCAGGATGGGCCCTTGGCGTTCATGCGAGTGCCCCGACCCAGCGCTGTGCTGCTCGGCGGGGGAAAGAACCGTCCAGGGAAACATGGGGTCAAACCAATTTGGACTTGGCGCCCCCATGGAAACTGAAAGTCAAATGGGTAAAAATTCCAGTTGGGAGTCCAATCACTCGCCGAGTTCCCTGGCGTTCGTCATGTTTTGGGATGACCGTTCAATTGCGCAGTTTGAGCCTGTTTTGACCCATCCGCGCGGGTATTGAGACCATGTTTGACTTCCTTCAGAGGAAATGTCATTTTGGGACTGAGCTGATATATGTTATTCTCATGTTTAGTCTGCATGCCAGATTATTATTTCTGATATTATTATTACTATCACCAATTATTAGTTAACAAATTTGATTATTACTATTGCCACACACACACACACCATTGGTTAGCACCCACTTCACCAACGACGGGGTCTCGCTTTTTGGCTTGACCCGCGCAACGTTGTGCTTTTTCGGAAACTGGTTTCTTCACAGAAGGCCGTTCGTTGTTTCGACCCCAACCGTTTCTTGGTTGCTAGATCAAGAGGTACTGGAGTCCTGTCCAGGTTCTTTGTTGGAAGGGTCGTGAACCTTCAGGCAGCAAATGTCTTTTGCAGAGGTACCGAGCCGCCTCTCAGAGTTCTCTACGATTACCCCGCCAAGGTTAGGCCCCCCCGGCCCCATTCAGACGCAAGATTACATAGAGCAATGAGATGAAGGTTGCTGGCGTCCTTTTGGCTTCCCTTTTGAGCATCCGTGCCGGAAACTTCTCTTCGGAACGTTCCCATGACCGCACAGATCCCGATCTGAACAACCTCATCTTTTTTTACATCCCCATAGATGTGTGAGTTACAGTTCCAGTCAAATTCGCCCTGAAGTGAAAGATGAGTTTGAAGACATCACGGAAAAGTCCGACGGGGTTTTCTTATCAGGCTAATCAATATGGCCCCCCTAGCCACTAGTCTGTTTCGCAGAACTCTTCCAAGAGCCCCCCCTTCTAAGAAGGTTCTAGGATCCTGCTAAGGGGTACTTACATTGACTTATGTGCGTACGCCTTCAGATATTTGAGGTTGCCCAGCGGGGTGAACACGCAGCACCTGAACTGCCGGCCTGCTCGGGCGGCCTGCTTGGATGTGCAGGCCGGCGGCGTTTGCGCCAAACGCAACACGGATCCCCTTCTGATGGTACTTGGAGGAAACCAACATCTTCAGAAGCACCCATACGACATATAGTTATTGTTTCTCATCTTTCGGGGCCTTTCCAGCTTGGTTTCCTATTTGGTTCCCTTTCAAAAAGGGATTCCCAGATGTTTGCTGGGAACTCGTTTGAAGTTCATACGCTGCCCGAGACCTTCCAAGCCAAATGAGGTTGCCAATGTTTGGCTTCGAAGCTTCAATATCCATCTACCAAGGCGATTCCAATAATCCTCCTTGATGAAACATGGCTGGTGTCCAAGGTCTAAGAGGGTTTCCACTAGCCACAAACCACCCCCAGGCAAAGTTGGATATGTAAATTATTTGTTGCGATACATATATATATATATATATATATAATGTATAATGTAAAATGTAATACACACATATATATACATATATATATATATATATATTACATTATATATATAATATCTATATCATACGGTCCTGTTGCCCGTCGTCCTCCCCCACCCCCCCTCCGGCCCGTCCCCCCAGACCGATCCGGCCGCGGGATGCAGGGTTTGGCAGGGATACACCATTTGTAGGGGGTGTTCTGCGTTTTGCAGACCATTCACCTTCAGGCAATCGCTTGTATCACGTATACATAGTGGCGCAAGGCGCCCCTTTTCACTCGCCATAGACAAAGAGCTCGCTACACTCGCTCCCGGCGTACACGCTTACAATCCATATGCCAGGGACTTTCAGCGCAATTGAATCCATCGGACATCAGGATCTTGCCAGAAACAGATCCAGGGCCATAGGGACTGCTACCACAGCGGATATCTTCTCCTCCAGGATTAATAGCCCCAATGGTACCCCCAGAGAACATCCCAATCCCGACTAAAATGGACTAAAATGGGTGGTGAATTCACCTACCCCAAAATGGTACCAGCATTGGTTTTGACCCACAGCCACTTCCCTCTAGGCGGCCATTTCTTTTGACCCACAGCCACATGCCCTCTGCATGGTGGTTGCATTCCCCCGTTTTGCTTTGGGCAGACATGGCTTGGATCTTCGACAGGGTCGCTTCTTTGGGGAGGGCTTGGATTGAGACAATTGCTATGTACAGGGTTCCTCCTTGCGGTCAGCCCTTTGTGGTGAGTCTGTTTTTCAGTGCAGCCGAGTTCGAGTAGTCAATATGGAACACAAGAAATGGGAGCGGTTCCTGCTTCTTTCGGGCGATAAAATACGAATCCGTCAGCATCGCCGTTCGTCTCTTCGGCCGCTGCTGGCCTTTCCCAAGTTGGCATCACCTGAAGCCCCTGCCAGGGACTGGCTCGCTTCATTGCCGGTGGCCAGAAACCTAGCTGGGAACCGGGACGAGGCGACCTGTTGAACGCTCACCACCGGTTGTGGCCATATTCCCGTGACTGAGTGGGTTCATGATCCCTTTCCAGCACCAGCATTGAAATTCCAGGGTTCCAGGGCTGGCAAGGGCCAAGAAAAAAAGGAACCGCCCTAACGGCAGAAGGATCCACTTAGTGGATAAACATGGCAAATGAAAAGGTTGGGTCATTGGCCGGATGCCCATAAAGGTGTATGCAGTTTGCAGCCAAACAGAAGGGGTCGCGTTCCCATAAGCCTTTCGTAGAACTAGAGAGGTGCTTGGAGGCCGTCCGAATCCGGGGTTGTTTTCAAACGGGGAGAGAAATGTTTCCTCGAAAACAAGACCGAAGAGGCAAACCCCCCCCCAAAAAAAACAACAACAACAAAGAGTTTCTCTTTGGAACCCGTCCAAAACAACCTCAGCAAGAAGGTACTGTAACAAGATAGCCCCGTTGGCATCGCTGGAGCGGGTGCGGGTCTTAAGGGACAAAACAAGTTGTTTGCTTTTGGTTTCCCTTCGATGTCCCGTTTGGAGAACCTAAAAGCAAAAATCTCCATAGCGAAACGCAGCGACTTCTCGCCCAGGGGAGGAAGAGGATGACAAGGCCAGACCAAGTGTCCAAGGCTGCGGGGCCCTCGGCGAGGGTTCGAAAGGTCCGGAGTCCGATTTGGGTGCTGTTGTCGAGGCTTGGTACCCTCTCAGTTTGCTTAGGAGACCAACAAAAAACATGTTTTTTGGGGGGGTTCCTCATTTTGAGATATACGCCAACGCCCAGGGCTTTGGCGATTCAATCCCTCTCCGAATTTTGTACCCTAGAATTGGGCCAAGCGATTCCCCAGACTCTGGCATTGTATCCGAGCAGAAGCTGCAAGCACGGAGGGTGAAGGGCCGCCTTTCCGGATCTTTGAGTTGGGAGCTGGGCATTTGGGGGCGATGTGGTTTTGCAGCTTGCCAAAAGTCCAAGCCATGACAAAATTGGTCGCTTTCTTTCCAACCGCTCAGTGTCACGCATGTTGCCCGGAGTGCGAAGGTTTGTTTTACGGTTTTGACCGCCGCGCAGCTGAGACTAAGGCTCCCCCTCAAGGAGCGTGCCAAATGGGTTTGTCGCAAGATGAAAAACTAGCATTTAGCCCTACCTGAAAAAAGGGGCCCGCAAAATTAGGTGAGCTCCAGGATGAAACCGACCATTTAGCCCGACCTCGAAAAGAGACGCCCCAAAGACCGTACCCCAGGAGAATATTGGTGCCGAGGTCTGGAGGACAACATGCCGCCCGCGGTGTTTCGCAATATCCCTCTCTTCAGCTGCTTGCCACAAGTCAGTGTGCTGAATAAGGGTGTGTGGCTGTGTATATGTATATATATATATATATATGCTGTGCACATGTATTATGTACATATACATGATGTATACAGGTAAATAGTACATGAGTATGGCACATTGGACAGTACTGGTTTCAAGGTCCACTTCTCGCGGAGAACAGAACGCTGAAAAAAAAGGCTCCCAGGAGGTTGAAATCGGTTCCCCCAGGTTGTTTTTCCCCTGGAAACGGTGAGAAGTGTTGGTTGAACAAGGTCCTGGTTGCCTTAGGGAAGCCAACAATTTAAGGCTCAAGCCAGTTCACATGGATGGACTTTCAGGTGGCCAAAAATCCATCCGCACTATGCTTATGCCGAGCGGTTTCTGTGGAAAAGTGACGGACCCCCATGGACCCCAGGTGGCGAATTGGAAGTCGGCCAAGTGAAGGCCAAGTTCAAGGCGGGCATTGGCATTCGAGACGAACTCTGCCGGCGCGCGCTTTTGTTGGCTTTTGGAGGGCTGGTTCTCTTCTGGCATCCAAAAAGCACCTGGTTCATCATCTGGTTCTCATTTGGTTGGTTCATTTGGTTTTTGGAGGGCAACCAACGAGATGCTGTCGGACGGCTTCTGCACTTCCGGCTGCAGCCTGCTGCGCGTGTTCTCCACCTTGGCTCCCGCTGGAGCCCAGCTGAAACAAAGACTATGTTTCTTTGCTGACTTAGCAGCGGTTGAGGAAGGAATACAGTTGGCTGTGGGTCAAAAATTGGTACCCCGAATGGAATTCTGGTACATGGAAACATGGACTAAACCCTGTGGTCCAATTCCTGGTGGATGAATTTGACCCATACCCAGTTAAGATGCGTTGAGAGGAAGATTCTCGAAATTCTAGGTACCACTGAGTCCGATCCGCAGAAGCTTATTGTTGATTATGGCTTGTTTGATATGTTTGATTGGTGAATGGAATGATTCGCCAAGATGAGCCACAATCAAGTCCGTGTAGATCAAGGTAGGAAGCAACAGTCCCAGCCAGAATGTCATTATTTACAATATGCGGGGGTCGACCCCTTTAGTACCGGACCAGGTGTTGATTGTCAGATTGCTTGCCGTTTCAGGGCACCTCTGTGGATTCATTTTGGGGACACTCTAGACACCCGATCTTTTTGGGGGAACGGAACCCGCGGAACCCATGATCGTAAAGAGGGCGCTCAGCCAGACTTCTCGGATCTCCAAGATATACTTTACGGTTGAATACAATGTTACTATAGAAACCAATCTGAATTATGGCCATGAGTTTCAATAGAGAAGCACCTCCAAAGTGGTTGGGGGACACAAATCCCCAGCTAAATGATGTCCAACAAAGATTTCCATTGTTTTTAAAGGAAGCACCCATATGACTTTCCGTGCACCCCAAGATACATTTTAGGGTTGACTGCTTTGGAATTAGTCCAAAAAATCGACCTTGCTGTGCACCCCAGATGTGGGCGCCGAACACTTGGGCTTGGACACCTTTGCAACGGGGGCGGCAGGTCATCTCGCCGCCCAACCGAAAGTGGACCACGGCCAAGGGCGTGCCTCCGGCACGAGAAAAGAAACATCGGACCAGGGCTACGCGGACGATTTGTTCAACCCAACAAGGGTCCCCCATCGAGATGTTTTTGCGGCTCTGCCATAGGGTGTTCCATGTTTTTTTGTTGCACGTTCTCGGAGGTATTTTGGAAAAGAACTGGTTGGGAATTCAAAGTGAGTTTCTGGGGAGGGCGGGTGTGTGCTTGTGGTTTGGAAATATTTAGAGCCAGAGCCCTCACTTTCACCGTTTGAAGAGCGATCTCGGACTTTCAAAACGACCTACCTGTTTCCAACCCTTTGTTTGGTTGACCTCAAATGCAGTTCGGAGCAAAAGCACCGATCTATGGTCCATTTGGGACATAGCGGACCCGCAGAAACCAGAAGATCACTCAATCTCTCGTGTCGTGGACAGTTTTGGCCATTTCGACCACGCGATGTGCTTCGGCGCTAGGGATCAATGCAGGGGCTAAACGATTTCAATCATGCTCCCATGATGACTTGTTTGTTTTGGATCAGTACCCCACCGCCGTCTGATCTCTGGATGGCATTTCCATTGGATGTATTTGGGGACGCGATTAATAGCTGTGTTAAAAGTCGATAGTCAATCGGGGGGCGAGGACATCACAAACCAGGAGGGAGATTCGCTGCCCTATTTCCAACACTGATGAAGGCGCACAGAAGGGTTGTGGAAGGGGAACAAAGTAAGTTGACCATGGCTCACGTGCTGATAAAGTCTGGTTACAAACCAGTTACCCGTGCTACTAGGGGGTGGAGTACTATAAAAGTAAAGTAGCAAATAGAAGACGTCAAAATACGTTTCAATGCGTTTGAATAGGAGGACTTGCAGAACGGCCTGTGACGCATGGTTCAGGCCACCAGCGATGACAAGGCAGGCGGACTCAGAAGGGATGGCTGTTAGGATTTCCCCGGCATGGGTTCCCAGCAAAAACCAGCCGAGGGGGTTGGGTGAAACTATAGAAAACGTTGTAATTTGGGATTTGGGTCAAAGTGAAGCCACCAGGAATTGGACCGCAGGTTTTGGTCGATTCCACTTGCCAGGGCAAGCCAGTTTCGGGTACCTAGTCTTGACCCACAGCCAAATGTTCACTGCACGAGGCGAACGGGTTGCTTTGAGCCTCCAAAAGATGAACTAACCTTGAGGCTCGAAAGTTGGTTGGGGTGTCTTTGGTTTACTTTCACCAGTCGCCAAGTTTCAACTCTATTGTGGATCAGTTGTGTTTTTTGTTTGTTCTTCTTCCGTGGGGCCAGTGCAATCGCGACCACACCTGGACGGGGTGTGCGATCTCACGCAGGTTGGGTTCCTTGCATTGGGAATATAAGTATTATGATTCACTGACAGATCCACCGTAAGGACAGGTTCCCTATCGTGCTGTGGATGGACAGAATCCTGAAGCCTGAATCCTGTTTTTGTTGCCCGTATTTGTAGCTTTTCATCCATCCAATCTGGTGCAGGATTTGTTTTTCCATCCAGAGTATTTTCGGAACAGCCATTGGTCGGATCACCCTGAGATCACCCTAAATAGTCGAACATCATAAGGATTATTACATACCCACATATATATATAACAAGCTCACCTGGTTTAGTGGCCATGGCCCCTCGCCCGTGGAATGAATTCGAGGAGGGACCCCTGTTTGAGAGACTTGAGGTCTCCTCCAGTCTGGTTGTATATATTCTGGGCCAAACATATGGAGCAGAATCTGCCAACCATATCTGTGTGCGTGTACCAGATTTGGGCCAAGAGACGGGCCAGGTGTTTTTCAACGAGAAGTTCCTGCGGAAGCGCTTTAAGATCGATCAGCCGCACAGCTTGCGAGTGCGAACCTACATCATCAGGGGCTTGAACGTGAGCGGGGTGACTCGCCTGCAATGCTGCAAGCGCCAAGTGGGGTGCCAAAGGAGCCCTTCTCAGAATTCTTCGACGGGGTCGTGCAGTTCCCATTTGGGCAGTTTTTAGCCTTACTCATCTTGTGTGTTGTTTGAGTTTCCCTTGGTGTGTCTTGGGTACGTTTGGGCATGGTTGCCCCCGGCTCAACAGAATGCCCAAGCTTGTTTGGCTAGAATGTTGGGGCACGTGATCTGTCACCAGAGTCAGCAAGAACCAAACCAGCACAAGTGTTGGATGAGCAAAACGCCTTTGCCTTGAGCGCCCCTCACCAGAGTCCCAAGCAAGCCAAACCAGGCCAGATGTTGGATGCGCAAAACGCCGAGCCCCTTCAAAGGCCCAGAACTCGACCAAGGGCCCTACAGTTGGGATCCAATTCGGCCAGAGCCTCGAATGAAATTTGGTCAAGCCTTGTGCTCCAATTGCAAGAGAAAGTGGGTCCGGAGAATAAACAAACAAAAGGTTCATATACCAGAGATTCATATATATATATATATATCTTCAGCGTAGCAGTGGCTCATGAGTCATGGCCGGACCCCTCGAAATGTGGAGAGTTTCTTGTTCAAGGGGTCGAGCCCTATGAAGCAGGATCCTAGGTTTAGAGGGGATCCCAACTTGATGTTCCGCCTGGGGAGGGTGTCGGCTGCAGGTTTTGCAAGCCGTGCTGGTAAGGATGGTAACTCCAAGAACGCGTGTTGCGCTCATAGGATCCCAGGATGGAGAAGAGGTGGGAAATGGGCAATCCTTCTCACCACGATTTCCATATTGATATGTACCTAGACTCTCCGTGGCCCTTTAAAAATGGGTCCATGACCCCATTGTTTTGGGTAATGAACCCATTTTTCAGGATCATGGAGGCTCCAGGTATGTTTATATTTGTTGTCGCCCGCCCTTGTTGCGGTTTTAAGCGTCAACTTTTTGGCCAGGTGAAAGTGAGTGTCCTTTTGGGGTGATGCTTACAGGGGAATATAAGGAGCCCTGTTGGACATGGGGCAAAAGCCAAAACGTACCCCAACATCCCAATCCCCACCAAAATAGACTAAAATGGGTGGTGCACCTACCCCAAAATGGTACCATTGGTTTTGACCCACAGCCTGTTGCCATTCTGCTCTAAGTATGGTCTCTCGCTCTTGTTTCGAGAT